TTTTTTTTAACCCAAATGGAATGCAATTTTGACCAAAAACTCAGTCAGAAATAGCAAAATATTCATTAAAATATAAAATAGTAAAAATATACCCAACTAAAATTGGCTACAATTAGCATTCAGGGAATGTTAATTGTGCTAATTGTTAGCTTAGAAAATGACATGTTTAGTAAAAAAAGCTTTGATAATCAGGCCACATTATGTGCTAACTTAACAACATTTGATGTTCCTTTAAAATAGCTAAACGTTAGCTTAAGAATAACTTGATGAGAAATTAGCTTGGTACTCAGTGAGTTATACAGAAGCTCCATCCCTGCAAGTGTCTGTAAAGGTGCCCTGTAAAATCAGTCATTTCTCATTGTGAGGCAGTGGACCTGACCACTATCACCCTGGGCCTCAGGAAAGGCGAGGTGTACAGTAACCCAGGTTTTATAGGCAGCAGCTCAGCAGGTGAAGAAACTTGACCTTCTTAGAGGAAAATCATCGCCATCATTGTTATGAGCTCCCTTTGAAATTGCAGTTCCTGTGTGTGGTGTGTGTGTAGCTAAGCTCTCTTACTTACCTCAAGCGTTGTGTATCTGGCGTAAATCAACGTCTCTGGCAATGACAAAGAACTGTGGGTGGCTGTTGTGTAGACACACACACACGCTGAAAGGCATTTGTGTTATGGTATGCACTGCAGCTTATACAGTTTACATTTACATTTGTTTTTATGCATTTAGCAGAGTTTTATCCAAAGCGAATTACAGAGGAAAATTAACCTTATCAAGCATGTGGTTCCTCTGGGAATCTAACCCAGGACTCTCTGCTCTCTGCTTCTGAGGCAGGCGTGCTGACAGCTACACTATGGAACCACACTGAGTGGTGATAGAGAGAGGGGAGACCATGCAAAACATACAGGGAGTTTTGTACAGGGAGAGTTTTGTCGTGTCAGAGGAGGGAGTCGTGAGGTCACGGTCAATCGCTGCTTAAACCTGTTGGTGTTGAAATAGCTAGAAGATACGCACATTCACCTCCAAACACTGGCAAGATTCCTGCCTGTAATAACCCTGCTTTGGTATGTGCAGCTCAGACACTGTTTCAAATCCTTAGTGCCTGCATGTTGATGAACACCTCCCTGCACACACACACACACACTTTTCTGCCTCGTCTTCACACACATTCTCACTCCTCCACAACTAGTGGTGAGGTATGTGGCCTCCACTTGTCCCAGCACAGAGAGAACGAGATGCCTGGCTGCTCATCTCAGGCAAAACCATGTGGGAAAACTACTTTATTATATGTTCCAAAAATAATAAAGTTAAAACTTACTGATATCTAAAGTATGTCTAGAAATACCTCAAAGTTGGTGGAGGAACAGGTTGAATGTTGTCAACAGATACCAAAAAGCCAAAGCAATAACAATTTGCTATTTTCAGGCCAAAATGGATTTAAAATCTAAATGTTTATAGACGATATCCAAAAGTAGCTTAAAGTTGTCAGGTAAATAAAAGATGTAATAAAGGTATGGAATTGGCCCTGGTACTTTTAGATAACAGTGAAATAGAGAGTTATTATTTCAAAAAGACATCATTAACCAAAACTGACTTGAATGTTAATAAATGAAAAATAACTTAATAATTAATAATTACAAAAAGGGAATTTAAAAAATATATATTTAGCCAGAATTAGTTACAAATTAAAGTATATTGTTCAAAAAAAGCAAAATGCTAGCTAAAGTATCTTGAAAGCAATCAGGTTAGCCCAGAAATAGTTGAACTGTGTGCACAAATAGTTAAAGGTCGGTCGATATTCTTGCAAATGTTAGCCATAATAGTCCAAAGTACAGTACTGACAGTACAAATCAGTCTTCGTTGGCCAAATCAGTCCAAAGTACAGTAGTGACAGTACAAATCAGTCTTCGTTGGCCAGGAAATGGCTTAGAATTAGTCATGGAAAACTATGAATAAGATAGTTAGAAATTGAAATTAAAAAATGTAAATGTAAAAGTAAGAAAAACCAGTTGGAATGAAGTTGAAAAAAACTCATTATTTTAGCCCCATCAGTATTTCATAAATTACATTTAAAACCAACTGAAATTGTACTTTACTAAGAGTTTGATTCTTGAAGTTGCAAGGATTAAAGTGGGGCCTGTAGGCATGTAAATGTAGGTGAAAGGTCACAAAACGTTCCACAGATGTCTAGTTTGCTGTATTGTACAGGCCAAGTTCCTCCACACTAAGCTCAGGCATGGGAAACTGATCCTAGACCAGCTGAGGAACAGGTCAGTTTGACACAGACGCCCCCTTGATCTCAGGGTAATTTTTCAAATGCGCAGCTGCCGTTTGCAGGATGATGTTAAGAACTGGGTTATTTATTCAGCTGAGTCCAGTAAGACCCTCACAGACGGCCGGTAGAGCATCAGGATTGAGGGCAGCTCTTTATTGCCGTTATTAGGAGTCAGTAAAGTGTGTAGAAGCCTAATCTGAGTGAAATGGTCAGAGGCCAGACCTGGAGAACTGTCCCACAGATCAGATTTTGACCTCAGTAAATCAATCCTGGTGGTGTTGAAAACTCGTGGACAAACAAGTATCAGAAAAAGAGAGAAAAAGTATGTTCAAGAACTGACATGTTTACTCATGTAGACAAACAGAGAGAGCCCAGTTTTGAACAACAGAAGACGACCAGGAGTCAGAGTCAGTTGTTGTTTTGAAGGGTTTACATTGGAGTTTCAACTGGACTTTTTTACATCTTTGTATTTCCAAGGATAACCTTAAAGTTGAAGTTTAAATGGTTTAAATTCAGCAAACAAACTTAAAGTTATGAAAAAATTAACTTAGGCCCAGAACTGTGTGGATTTGGTGAATATTGGTTTCACTGTTTTGATACATTTAGTGAAAAACTGATTTTTGAGTTTTCATTCAAACCACTCTTTTTGACATGGTGCATGATCAAACTCCAAAACATCAATGATTTTATTAATTTGTGTCTTTATCACTGTAGTGTGGTTAAAACAATCCATCCTCAGATGAACGTGGAACTGTTTGGTAAATTGTTCCAACTCAAATTACATACGTATCACAGAACAAATTCCTAAAGTCTTCCAAGACCCAAAATGACACAGACGTGGCTATAAATCCTCACTTTAAGAAGTCAGAAACTCTAAATGTTGGTTTGTATTTTCTAAAACAAATGC